TTATATTTATTTATTTATTTATTTATTTAAATATTGTTATATTTATTTATTTTTATATTTAATTTCTTTATATTTTATTTTTTCGTATTTTTACATGGCTGCAGTAAAAATGGCAGTGCAACAAGGCTAGCAGATATTAGCAACTAATGTTTGCATATTTCGTTAGAGAACAACATAAAGTAAAGGCCTGAACTTTAAATTACATGGGAAACGGTAGGAAATGTAATTTTTACCTTATCTGAAGTTCTATTTTTTGACAAGTAAAATGTTTTTGTAAGACTGTTAGTGTGGAAAGTCGACCGAAGAATGCCACGTAGGTGGCGCACGAGAGCAAATCCGCGCCATTATTTTTCGGTTATGTTACGCTCTAGAGAAAGATTTTTATACTTGTTCGTTTGTTCGCTCTCGATGAGAACACGTTATTTTCTTTGTATCTAGTTTATCCTTGTGTTCTCGACTTAATAAAGTTCTATCATTCAAGGAAACATTACTCGAGAGTTATTTTGTAGCGTTTCTTCTCCATTTCCCTTGATTCCGCGAACCTGTGTTTACGAGATTATACATTTCTGGCGATCAACGACACGATATTGAGGTTAAAAGACAATTTTCTTTTGGTGAATCAGCGGAATGGAGAAGTTAAAGAAAACACGTAAGGCTTTACAAACAACGTTTATACGTACATTTTCTCAGTTGAATCAGTTAATAGAGGAAGAGAATGTCGATGTAATAGAACTACAGTCAAGGTTCGAAGTCTTTAGAAGTAAAGTGTGCGAATTAGACGAGATCAATCAACAGATTTTTAATTTAATGCAAGATACAGAGGAAATCACAGAGGAAATCTTGTCAGAAGAAATAGAGAGTGCAGACGAATATCGTATCAAGTATCAAAGGATGAAGGTTAGGGTAAGTCGTATTATAGAAGCCTCTTTGCAATATACACAATCAAATGAGTCTCAAGATGTGGCTTTAAAGATTCTACATATATAGGATAAGAGATTTAAGCTACCAAAGATAGAATTGCAAAAATTTAGTGGCGATCTGAAAGATTGGCTAAAATTCTGGAGCTTGTTTAAGAATATTCACGAAGACAAATCTCTCTCAAAGGGAGATAAATTTCAGTATCTCGTACAGGCTATAGTGGAGGGTTCTAAGGCTAGCGAACTTATTAACAGTTTCCCTCCTACAGCGGAGAATGATGATGAAGCTATTGACAAGCTCAGAGACCGGTACGGTAAAAGCGATATGCTGATTGAAGTGTATATTCGCGAATTGCTTAAATTAGTACTTAATACAGTTAAAGTAGGAAATAAAACGACTATATCCAGTCTTTACGATAAACTTGACTCAGTTGAGAACACTTGAATCTTTAAATGTGACTACAGAGATGTGCGCGGCCATGCTAAGCATGCGGGCAAAGCTGACTCGACTAATGGATACATTAGTCGAGTCAGCTTTGCCCGAAGATTTGTTAAGAGTATGGCAGAGAAATTCTACTTCGTCGGGTACTACCGATGCCAAGGATCGACTGTACGGATTGATGGACTTCTTACAAAAGGAAGTGATAGCAGAAGAAAGAATAGCTATGGCGGTACAAGGATTTGAATATAAAACATTCTCTAAGGAGAATAAAGAGATGAAAAGGAAACAAAAACTACAATCTAACGAAGTAGCCTCGGCGGCTGGACTTATTAATGCAAAACCATCTCAAGTAATAGAATATATTTGTTGCAGTGAGAAACATGACAGTAGCTTGTGCAACAAAGCGAAGACAATGTCTTTGGAAGAGAGACAGAAAATAGTGAGAAGTAAGAATGCTTGTTTTAACTGTTTGAGGTTAGATCACAGTTTCAAGAAATGCCGTTACAAGGAGCCATGTCCCTGATGCAGGAAGCAACATGTATTGTTAATGTGTCGTAATATGTCTTCGAATTTCAAGTCTAAAGAGTCTAACGAAACACAAAATAAAGTAGAAGACAAAATAGAAAGACAAAATTTAGCGAGTCTATCCAAGAAGCCTGAGGTGTTTCTACAGACATTGCAAGTCTGTCTGATTAACGCAGTAGTGGAATTGCAGGTACATGCAGTTATAGATACCAGTTCTCATTATTCGTATATTTCAGAACGAGTGGCTAAGAAACTTCGATACGAACCGAAAAGCGTACAATGATCCACTTATTATTTGGAGGAACACAGACTCGACCTCAAGAGCATCAGTATTACAATATACACTTACGCAGTCTAGACGGTTCCTATGATTGCAAATTTATAGCCTATCAACGAGACACTTTGCCAAGATATTCCAAAGAAGTCCGGAGGACCATGGATAGAAGAATTACAGCACAAATCGGTGACATTATCTGACTATGAATACGCTGATAATTCTATCTCTCTTTTGATAGGTGCTGATATTGCGGGCGAATTATATACTGGAAAAATCTTTAATCTTAAATGTAAACTCACCACTATTGAAACACGTTTAGGACGGACATTATTGGGTCGAACTCCACAATTTAAGAAGCAAGAGTCAGACACGGTGCTAACTGTTTTGTCCATGTACGCTCAAAATGCCGATATAGATGATTTATGGAATCCTGATGTTATCGGTATAGAGGATCCTATCCTAAAGTTGTCGAAAGGGCATCATTTACAAGAGATTCTCTTCCGATTCCGTGATACGATTAAGATTAACCAGAGTGGCAGATACGAGGTTTTCTTACCTTGGAAGGAGAATCATCCACCACTTTGCGAAAACCGAGAAATCGCAGAAAGAAGATTAAGAAACACCATAGTGAAACTTCGCAATGATGGATTGCTCCATGAGTATGAAAAGGTGTTTAATGAATGGCTTGAGGAAGGCATAATTGAGGAAGTTCCTGCTGAAGAGTTAAGCTCCCCTGGACATTATCTACCTCATCGACACGTTGTTAAGGAGAATAGTACCACACGTATACGTCCAATCTTCGATGCCTCAGCTACTGAAAAGGGTAAATTCTCATTGAATCAATGTCTAGAGGTGGGGCCCAACTTTATTGAGCGTGTTCCAACATTACTTTTACGGTTTCGTGAGAAACGCATTGGAACCATTGCAGACATAAGAAGAGCATTTTTACAGATTAGTATTACGCCTAAGAAACGCGATTATGTGAGGTTTTTCTGGCAACGTACCTCTGATAACAAAATAGTAACTTATCGCCATTGTAGAGTAGTCTTTGGAATTACAAGTAGTCCTTTTCTATTGGGAGCTACTCTCGACTATCATTTGGAACAAGTTCTTGAGAAGACTATAGATGAACAGGAAAAATCCATAATCAAGAAACTTAGAAGGTCACTGTACGTTGATAATTGCGTTACAAGTGTCGGGACAGAAGAAGAAATAAGTTCTTTCAAGGCAATCGCGATCTACGTTATGAGTACAGGCGGTTTTGATCTACGTGGGTGGGAGCTCACAGGTGAAAGTGATCCTCTCCATGAAACGACAGTCCTGGGAATGACTGGGAATAAACAGGAAGATGTTTTGACACTTCCACGTACAGCTCTACAACAAGAAACTCCGAGCAGAATTACAAAGAGAGAAATTTTATCTTCTACATATAGAGTCTATGATGCTCTTGGATTTATTTCTCCTGTAACACTCTATTCTAAGTTACTCCTGAGGAAATTATGGGAACAGAATTTTGATTGGGACACTGAAGTTGAACTCCAAATAAAGGAAGCATTTCTGCTATGGTTACGAGAGCTGGAAAATCTATCTCAGGTAAAGATCCCTCGGTGGATATTTGACACCAATGAGTCAATCTTATCTTTACATTTATTTGTTAACGCTAGTCAAAAGGCATATGCTGCAGTAATATTTGTCAGAATAGAAACAAAAAATAAAGTTAAAGTACATTTTGTACAAGCTAAGAATCGAGTGGCACCAAAGAAAATGACCACTATACCGAGACTAGAACTCCTCGCAGCTTTAATAGAAACTAGGTTGATGCGGTTTACATTAACTACATTGGAAAATTCTCAAATCGAGACCTTCTATTGGACTGATTCGACAACGGTACTTGCTTGGATCCAAAGGAAGACTCAATGGGCTACATTCGTATGGAATTGAGTTTCAGAGATACGCCAACTGAGCGATCCAAATTCATGGCGGCATGTACCAGGAAACATGAATCCCGCGAATCTTCCTTCAAGAGGTTGTTCTGTCAAAAGGCTCTTGGACTCGGGATGGTGGGAGGGACCTTCATGGCTTCAATTTCCTCGAGAGGAATGGCCTCATGCAACAATCGTAGCAGACGAAAATTTAGTAGCTAGCGAAGTGAGGAAAACGGCTAAACAGAAGAACATTGTTGACGACATTTCGCTCTTGAATCCGATAGTAAAGAAAGCCAGTGAAGATACAAAGGAATCGGAATTGCTTGAACGTCTATTAACTATATCCAGTTATTTACGAATAATTCGTGTTATCGCTTGGATACAGAGATTCATCGATAGTTATCGACAGTTATTCGACAGTTATTCGATAGTTGTCGAAGTAAAGAAACCCTTCCTGTTAGAACGAACTTGAAAACGAAAGAAGTCATCAGAGCCGAACTAGTCTTATGCAAATTGGTTCAAAGTGAGAGTTTTTCTGGGAAAACTGACACCAGACTAAACGCGATGAGAGTGTATAAGGACGACTTGGGCCTCTGGAGGGTAAGGAGTTTAATTTCGAACCGAATTGATACGCACGACTTCCGTTATCCTATCATTCTGGACTCAGGCCATCCCATTGTGGAAAAGCTAATAGAACACACTCATAAGAAGTTAAATCACGCTCAGACGAGCGTTGTTATTAATAATTTGCGAGAACATTTTTGGATCTTGAATTGTAGACACACCACCAATGCTGTAATACATAAATGCATCATCTGTAAACGTTATAGTGCTAAGAGAATAGAACTGTTGCCTGCTGTATTGCCTTATGACCGAGTTAAAGAGGCAGCCATTTTCGAAGTTACTGGTACAGATTACGCAGGTTCACTTTTCCTAAGAGATGATAGCAAAGCATGGATCTGTCTATTCACCTGCGCTGTTTATCGAGCTGTTCATTTGGAATTAGTTATCTCTTTATCTCACTCCTTTCTGGAAGCGTTTCGCAGGTTTATTGCGAGACGAGGAAGATCTTCGATTATATACACCGATAACGGTACCAATTTTACTGGTGCTAATAAGAGTCTTCGGAAGATCAACTGGAAGAAGATCGAAGACTACGGAACAGTGGAAAAAATTCATTGGAATTTTAATTCACCCACAGCTGCTTAATGGGGTGGTTGGTGGGAAAGATTAGTACGCACTACCAAAGAACTATTGAGGAAGGTATTGGGACGAGCCTCATTGACTTATGAAGAATTGGCAACAGTACTCTGCGATTGTGAAGCTGTCATTAATTCTCGCCCAATTACTTATTTAGCCGAAGATCCGGAGCAATTATTATCTTTATCTCCGTCTCTGTTTTTGCTGGATCTGAAAAACAATAGAGTTCCCGACTTTTGGCCGATGCTGAACAATTTTGCTTTCAATAGAAGAATAAAATATCGTCAAGAGTACAAATTCGAAGAAGATTCCGGATAGAATACCTTGGTTAACTATCTCGAAAGATCGCCGACTCCACCAAATACCATACAAGTGGGTGATATCGTGCTCGTAGAAAGTGAGCATTTGAAACGTCTGGAGTGGCCTTTAAGCAAAATCATTCAAGTTTTTTCCAGTCGAGATGACCAGGTACGTGTCGTCAAACTCAAGACAGCAACAGGAGAACTGATGCTTCCGGTACAGAAATTGTTTCCTTTAGAATTGTCTCTTTCGACAACTACTAATAAATTTTCTGACTTGCGGAGTTATCTCCCAGATTCTTATCACGCAAACCCAATAGGTGATAAAGAAACGATTCAGTACGAATCATCAGTTCCTGACCCCATTGACATTCCTGCTACCATTTCGTCATCCGATACTCAAAATGAAAGAAAGCATTTATAACCTTTAAATATTTCAAAATAGTTCCAATATGAAAAAAAGGATATGGCTAAAATTTTCAGAAAAAAATTCGGTTATGGGATGAAATTGTCGTACGATATTTTTTCTGCCTTAAATTCATCAGTCGTCCTCCGATACTCGTAAAAAATACTTATTACTGATGTATTCTAGTGTCTTAAGATTGCAGAACTATTCTAACCACACTTCAATGCCGTCTGAGAGTTTTGCGACTCTCTCAAGACCATTTTATGGCATTTTGAGTATTTTAAGAATGCCCCAAGGATATTTTGTAAATGTTTTAGAGCTTTAAGACTGCTTTAATGCTGAATAGTAATGTTAATCGAATTTTAGGGCTGTCTCAGAATTGTATTAGTGTGTTACGATTATCTTAAGGCGATATTATGGATGTTTTAGTGCTTTAAGACTTCCATAATATTGCATAATTATTTTAATCAGAGCGACGAACTATCTTAGGGTTATCTTGCTATCTTACCTATGTCTGCAGGCTATCTTATGAGCCTTTTAGGGCTTTATGGCTACTTGATATATATTTTATGGCGATTTTTTGCCTTTTTAGGCGAGTTTTAATTTTTTTAGGCATGATGCCGGGTTCAAAAAATTCTGAAAAAATTCAGGGTGAAAATAAGTTTAAAAATACATGTTTTTGAATTTTTGCGAGGTTGCCAATCATAAACTAACAAAAGGGGGTCACTTATAAATTTTCAGGAATTTTTTAAAAATTATGGTTAGGTTGGAACATCTCGCAAAAAATATTTTCAAATACCTTTTGATACGTTTTGTACGCCCAAATTTTTTTAATAATTTAATTTAAGAATTGTATCTGATAGGTCTCGTGACAAAAATAAAATATGAAAATACTTCATAAGGCGAAAAGGGGTGGTGTACGGAATTAAAAATTTCTCCAAATTTTTTTTCGGGTCAACGAACTTTTTGGTGACATGCTGGTCATAATCCGTTTGGGGGTTGATTGACCCTTCTTAACCTGCTAGAGCCTTTGTACTCTAAAAAGTAAATGATATCCGAACAGAACCATATCATAGAAATAAAAAGTTCAAGTCATGTTCAAAAAAGGATACTCAAAAATTTAAATCTTTTTATCTAATATTGATATATTACCATGAAAAGTAACTGATATATTATTAATTAAAGGTGCCAGTACAAAATGAATATTAATAAATTGTATGTAACTTTCGGCCAATTTTCGAATCGCTCCCCCCTTAAGGTGTCTAATAATAATTAGGTGTATAAATAAGCTTCTCTCGTTTGACAAAAGATGGCGCCACCAGTATGTTATGGTTAAAATTGTCTACTGTAAAACGTCATATCGTAAGGTTGGACAACAACATAACCTTGAAATATTAGCGATTTTGTATCATATATCTTTTTTCGTGTGGAAATGTCGTTGAGCCGAATAAGCGTTATTTGCGGGAGCTTCTTTAATTTGAAGAAATCTGCAGCTGAGGCGCATCGATTGCTTGTAGAAGCATATGGTGAGGCTGCCTTAAGTGAGAGAAGTTGCCGTGAGTGGTTTCAAACGTTCAAGAACGGTGAATTTTACGTCGAAGACAAAGACATAGTTTCGACGTTTTTTGTTTTTTCGACGTGGAATCAACCAATTACCAGAAAGATGGGAAAAAGTAGTGGCTAGCGATGGACAATACTTCGAATAAAACATTAGGTACCGTTCTTTCACAATATGCCCAATTTTTGATGAAAACACGGCAGAAACTTATTTATATTCCTAATATAATATTACCATGAAAAGTAACTGATATATTATTAATAAAGGTGCTAATACAAAGTGAATATATACATAAAGTGTATGCGGACAGAGAAGAAGAAGAAGAAGAAGAAGAAGCAGAAGAAGACGTTCCTTAATTTTTCAATAAAATCATCACTTTTCGACCACTTCTATCTCCAGAACGGTTTGACCGATTTAAAATTTTTTTGGCTCAAATTACTAGTGGCGATGCTGCCTTTCAGAACATAAAGTAGTAGTAGTAGTATATTAATACAGGTGGGCTTAACCAGCCTACTAGCGCAACCTAGATCCGTGAGGTTCCATTGTCGCTCCTGCTTACTTCCGTAGGTTATTCAGTCATTATACTGCTAGCCTACGCATTTTTCTAAATCCTTGAGTGCCAATCAAATGTCCCCCAGCATTTATACTGATGTATAGGACCTAAATAGGATCTACAATTTAACGCCGAATCCGAACGACGCTGATGATCGTAGATTTTTTGATCACCAGGTGGAGCCATTTTTTGGCTCATTAAACGCGAAAAATCGCGTTTGAGCGCAGGTGGGATTGAACTCGGGTCTACAGATCGCGAGTCAATCGAACTGAGTGGTTGAGCCACTCGACGCCTCCAATTCAGAATATATAACGTTCGATTCAAAATTTTTTATATTTTAGTAGTTATGCACCCCCGAAGAATGGACTTTAGTGGCTCAGGATAAGAGACTTGCAGTGTTTTCCAGTTTTTGAACATGACCGAAGACACTATCGCGTCTCCTGATTAAATAAAAAATGAGTGATTATTCAGAGAAATCTGAATGCTCGTCAAGCGATTGGATGATCGGTTACGAAGATATCACACGATTCTAATAAGAAAATAAAATACTCATGTATTAACAAAATGATAAGCATCTATATCTCTCCGACAGAGAACATACCTCTGGGTCCCTCAGTTATAGTCAATATCAGAATAAATTTATCAAATATATTGTGGCGATTGCATTGCCATAGATTTAAATTTCGCAGGAACCGTCGTTTAGAGATAGCACACAGACGCACGAACACACATTTGACATATACAACAAGAAGAAACATTTAGACGCGAGAGTAAATACAAATAGCCTTTTAAACTCATAAATTTCTTGCGTCCATTTTTCATCGGTTTCCTAATACGAGTCTCGGATAGGAAAGTAAAGGCTAGATGAGTATGAACTTAAAGTACATATAAATTATTTTTGTATTTAATTAATGTATTTTTTTTTATGAAATCTGAATTTTAATTTACAAGAAAAGCATCATTAGCAAGAGTATTGTAATATAATTCTCATCACGCGTGCGCGTAATGTGCCCAATAACTCAATGCTTTTGCGTGCGGTAAATATAATAGCCAATAACTCAACGACTTGAGTTATTACTCTAACCCCACTCTTCTGCGCAAAAACGTTGCTGTATTGGACACATCACGACGAGCACTTGTAATGAAAAATTCTGTGTGTAACTCATATGCTCAGTTGTTTATTGTGCGACGCGGGCGCGGGAGTACGAGCGAAGCGAGTGCGCTAATCGCGCCCGTCCCGCGCTATATACACTATACCCCCACTAGTTACTCATAATATTTTATGACACGCGGTTCGCGTGACATAATGTACTATTTCATTACGCGTGCACGTAATGTGCCCAATAACTCAACGCTTTTGTGTGCGGTAAATAGCGAATAACTCAACGACTTGAGTTATCTGGAGACACGGTAGTGTCTCGGCGCTAAGCCAAGCGCGCGACACTGCCGTGCCTCCTTTACGCGAAACTGAGAATTTTTCGGGATTGAGATGATCAGATCACAGTAACGGCTGAACCGATCAAGTTCTACATACGCTCAATCAACAGGAAATACTTAAATTGTATAATAAAAGTGCTTTCATTTTTTTTCTACGTGCCCTACGACCGGAGATATCGTGACGCAAAGTCCGGATCTGTGAATTTTCACGTTTCATTTTTAATATACGTCATTATTATTATCAACGTCGTCAACCAGAGAAAATGTCCATCTCGTTTTTTCGATAATAGAGGGCCTTTGACTTTATGTGTTATCTCACTCTACCTATTCTATCATCTCTCTCTATCTATTCTAACCAGCAGACCAGTGTTGCATGGTGTATCATCACATATGAGGCGCGCGCGGTTTAAATCTTATAATTAAAAATAAAATATTATTCAATATAATATCAAATATTTATTAATAATAATTATATATATATATACACATATATA